GTCAAACAGATGGCGTTCTTCTTGTCGTCCTGGTGTTGTCCTGTTGCATGCTTTGCACTTTCTTTGGCCTGTCTCTGCAAGATTTTGCAAAAAAACTTCAAATATAAACTGAATGCTGTTATTTAAATAATCTATTTTTGTGAATACAGATTTTATTTCTTTTTCTTTTGATTTTACAAGTCTTATAAAAAATGTTTGTTTTCTTTCTTTCTTGAAGGTGAAATGAAATGTCCTTGTTTGGAGTCACACCACGTTAATTTATTTTGTATATAACACAGCTCCACATACTCTCATTCCCCTGAAAAGTGAGAACATCTCAGTGACTGAACGCTGTCGTGTTACAGCCCACACCTTTGGTACACTTTCACTGTTTCCATCTTCTGCATGCGTTTCATGCCACTCGCTCGCCTTGGCCTGGGGCGGTTTGAAGGAGCGCCCTCTCACCTTCCATGAAGGCACAACGAACAACAGAAAACTACCTACCAATGAGTCGTGTTTCGGACTGAAGTGCTTTCTTATGTTCTTTATTTACTGGTGGACGTCAGACTGTACTTGAAGTGCAAAGCTTTTCTTCACCATGGGGTGTTTCTTTCAGGGGAGGCGAACAGGATTTCTGTCAGGTGTGCACATCATGTTGTGCTGAAGCTCAGTTCGACCGGCAGCAGAGCGGAGGAGAGGACACCTGTCCCGCTCTTTCTAGAAGAGACGGAGAGTTGGATAGAGAATGATCACTCGGTTGTTGGCCGTTCCACTTGGAAAGGAAAAAGCTTTGTGACTTTGAATATTTGTTCATTTGAATGTATGATACTTTTTTCAAGTTTTCTTGTGTAATAAGTCAAATAAATGTAGAATATAAATAAAGCACACTAGAAAACTCTTGCTGTGTGTCTTGTGTATGTCATTATGAGTTCATATTATTACTATACAGGTTATATATACAGTAGGCATTGACTACTCAACTCTCTACTGGCAGGTCTTCCTACATGCACTATCAAACCTCTGCAGATGACACAAAGCAGCACGACTGGCCTTCAACCTTCCTAAAAGATCACATGTCACTCTGCTGTTCATCTTCCTCCACATGCTCTCAGTTACTGCTCGTTCATAAAGAGCTGGGTCTTTAGCTTTTTCTTAAAGATGCAAAGGGACTCTGCAGATCGAATGGCGTTTGAATGTTTGTTCCACCACCACTCTCTCCTAATTGTCTCTCAGCTTAACCTCCATACCTCTTAGCGAAATTAGCGAAAAAATTTAAACGCAATGCATGCATGAATGAATAATATTCGACCATAGAGCTGGTCTTACTTTGGTCTGCCTTGTTTCTTGATAGAAGATGTCAAGTTGGTCAACCCAAGAAGTTTCTCAGGCTCTGCAAGCTGCTGTTCTGATTTGAAGGAGCCTACTTGTGTATTTTCCCAGGCGAAAGCTCAATATTCTGATTATGCTTACACCACTTGAAGGCAGCGTTATAAGAAACGGTGTATAACCACGACTGAAGAGATGAACCATACATCTTCTTTTCTCTCAGTTGGACTTGACCCTGCGCTCTACACATGTGTGGAGGATGAAGGTTTGTTGCTCAGCGGTGGACACAGTGAGAGTCAAATACCTCGAAGCACACAGCGAGACACCTGCTGCAAAACAAGAGCAGAGAAGAAGAAGAAGAAGAAGAAGAGCCTGGAGCTGAAACAGAGCCGTGTGTTGTTCTCTTTTGATCAGGCGGGGTGGATCAGCAGACCGCTGTGCTTCTCAGGACCCAAGGCCAGTTTTTCCCCTCTCTCTAATGTTGTTGACTTTAGAGCGTAATGAAATCACACCTCACCTCCCGCTGTGCACTCTGGGACGTCGAGTAGTGAGAGAGGGCTTTGACGAAGCTACTGACACGCTCAGCTGGAGCAGATGTTGTCATACGTGCTCAAATGCGCAAGAATAATAAGAGATTAGGAGCTGCTCAGAGGGTTTGATCGCTCCTGTTAAGATCCAAGTGATGAGAAATAAAGTCCTCCGTCAGAGTCGATGTATCGAGTTCTGCTCCTGAAATTGTGTTTATTTTGTGATTCTGACACTGACGGGTCAATTCTGTAAGAAATGTGACCACAAAAAGCCTGATTCTCTTTAAAATGTCCCGTGGAAAAGAAAAGAAAAACACTTTCCCACACTTCAAGACAGTATCACATATAATTAATTAACTGAATCTGGGGACAGACAGCTGAGAGACTTTTGAATTGCAGCAAATGTAAACACAACACTCTACTCATCATGTAATACACATTCTTCTGTGTAAAACGATGACATTTCTAATATGTATTTTGCCTTTATGAATTAGGACAATTTAAGAGAGACAGGAAATGCTGGGAGGAGAGAACGAGCGATGACAAGCAGCAATGGCCGAGGTCGGATTCTAGCACACACGCCTGTACTTGGGTACATGCGCAACATAGCTACTAGGCTGTCCTGCACCTCGATATTCTGAAGTAGGCTACTTTTCAAAGCTTAACTTAGAGAATCAGCTTGTCCACTGATGATATGAACTCGCTATTGTTAATGTGGCTTGTTCCAACCAGAAGTTTTGTTGTATTTTTTGTTTATAGAGTATAGCTTGGGCCTAGAATTGTTCTAATCAGAACTTGTGTGTTTGTTCATTTGACAAGGAACAAGTTAACTTTGGACTGGTTGGAGTGGGGCCATAAAGACCCCATTAGCCTGGCTGCAGATGTTTAGAGAGATTACTTCTCTTTGCACAGGAAAGGCCCAGCTGTGCATCCACAACATCCAGTTGAAAATAACAGTGAGAGTTGTTTTTTTTTACAATGAGTCCTTAAACGCACCATAACTAACTAACAACTAACTCAGAGACATTTAATCTGTTTATCTTATTTAAAGCTGAGTGAAGTCAGCAAGGATTTTCCACTTCATCTTCAGCCAAAAAAACAAAAACAAATGATACTCACATTTTTCATGAAAACCTCAATCGTTATGCAAAAATGCCCGAGAGCTCAAACCCACATGCAAACAAAACACCTATGGAACCTGTGACCCTCCTCACCAACAACATATTCAAAATCCTCCTCATATATTAACACACTCTCCAAAACCAACCGTTGTCTCGTGTGCAATAATAGATGTACAAACTTCTGAGAACAAGAAAAAAAATTTGTTAAGCGTTTATTTTGTTCCCTTATTTAAAGATAGGACAGAGGATACAGTCAGAAATCAGGGAGAGAGATAGAGAGAGAGAGAGAGAGAGAGAGGGGTAAGACATACTGGAAAGGAGCCACAGGTCAGATTTAAACCCGGGCCAGGAGGACCAGTTAATTATAACAGCTCACAGTCTACCTGGACCTGAAATGGACCTCCTACATACATAGACAGCAACAGGTGAAAAACCCACCAGAGGATATACTTCCTATGTCAGCTCAGGAAGTTCAACCTGCCTCAGGAGATGCTGATCATGTTCTACACCGCCATAATTAGTGTAAACAGCAGTCACACTATTGTTACCCAAATCTTTATTAGTGGGAATGCTGTAATACAGCCACCCATCTGGGGTAGGACCCACATCCCATATGGTCTAGCGGTTAGGATTCCTGGTTTTCACCCAGGCGGCCCGGGTTCGACTCCCGGTATGGGAACAACTATTTTGGGGCGGCTGTAGCTCAGTCTGTAGGGACTTGAAACCTCTCCATTAGTGCATGTCCATAGGATCCTGTTTGTGCATGTGCATGTGTGTGTATTTCAGCCTATGTTTGTGTAGCATTTTAACTAGACAGAGTGTAAAAACGAATTTCCCCTCACGGGATCAATAAAGTATACATTATTATTATTAGTAATGGTAAACTTCAGCCAAACTTCACTGACCAAACCTCTTGGGACTAACTTTTTAGATCGCTGTGGTTTCCACATTTCTTGGATCCCAGACATGAAAATCACATCAACACGTTCGGCCATTTGTCTCTCTTGCTCCCAAAATCATCATTTAGCCACCAACTCTTAATTTAAGCCCTTGAAATGAACACTCAATAGGGAGACGTTTTCCCCTTTTTCTCATTGTCTGACTGCATTTAAGAAGTCTTTATGCAGTATCTTCTACTTGTTCTACCACTTCTACACTGTTTCTTCATCTTCTACTAATACTTCTTCTTCTACGACTCCTTTTTCTTCTTCTACTTCTTGTTCTTCTGCTTTTACTACTTTTATTTCTTCTCTTCTACTACTAATCTTCTACATCTTCTACTTTTTCTTCATCTTCTACTAACCCTTCAGCTGTTTCTGCTAATTCTTCTTCATTCAGCAGTGTTTTGCAAAACATTTCAGCGGTCAGCATTCCCACGCATTTTCCGCAGGTAAATGCAAATTGTCTAGTTCAGTCTGTTCTCTGCACGGCCATCACTTGTCTGGTTTGGATCTGCACAACAAACAGGACAGACGCGGACTGCAACAGACAATCAGGACTGCAGAGAAAACCATCAGTGCCAACCTTACCGGACGTATACCGGTCCAGAGTCAGGAAACAGGCAGGTAACATCACTGCAGACCCCTTCAGACCCCGGACACAAACTGTTTCAAGTCCTCCCCTGAGGTACAGAGCGCTGTAGTCTTTTCTCAAGCTGTTACTGTGATGAAATGTGTTTAAATAGTGATACTGTATATCCATAGGCCTGTATATAGCAGTTGTTTTTTTTCTTTTTCTTTAAGTTTTAGTTTTAGTCTCTGCCAGCTTGTCTAACTTTTCCTTGTTTCTAAGTGCTTGGTCAATAAAACTGATCCTGGGTGGGAGGGTTTCCGAGAAAGGCAGCTGCAGTTCTCCCTCCATCCTATAGGTTGCGCTGTGAGTAACGACCTCCAGCGTTCCCGGACACACACACACACACACAACACACACACACACACACACACACACACACACACACACACACACACACACACACACACACACTCTCTCTCGCTTTCCCTCCCTCTTTGATAACCTCTCCTCCGCTGCTGCTCCCACATGCTCTCTTCTGATTGGCTGATCTGACTGCCGCTTCCTGCTGACGCACCGCACAGTTTTTGCAGCAGTGTTTTGGTTTGGTTTATTGATGCTTAGGAGGCTCGTCTGCTGCTTACACACACACACAAACACACACAAACACACACACAAACACACACACACACAGCCGGTTTCTGTCGCCTTTTTTTTTTATTTTATTTTTTTTGTTTGCTCGTCGTTTCAGTTCGCTGAAACTAAACACCACGCCGGTCAGAGATGGCTCAGTGCTCCGAGTCTGCTGACGTTTCCTCCGCGGTCAACGGAGAGCCGAAGAAGGAGAGGAAAGTGGCTGTTATCACCGGCATCACCGGACAGGTAACATTTAATCGCTCACTTCATGCTCTGGGTTTTGTGCACACTGTTTGAATGAATGCACGACACGGTGATATATCTCTACAGAGTCAAACACACTGTAGCATCTCTCTTTAGTTGTGATTTGTGTTGAAATGAGATGTGCAAGGTGGAAAACACACCTGTCTGACCCTATTGAATCTACTCTATGCCCTCCCTGATGTTTGGTCAGTTCATCTCAAATGATAGTAAAGCTCAGTTTACCTGGCTTGTTTCCCCCTTTAATCTAAATTATTCCCATTTCTCATCAGATAAATGTCTTTTCAAATCAGACTTGTTCACCTGTACTCTCACACACACATGCTTTCTCTGCGTCTTCACTGACGTCATCATGCCACTAAATCTGTTTATTTGATGGATATTCCCTTGAGGTCATGAACCATCTCGTTTTCGAGGGGGGTCCAACACACACACACACACAAAAAAAACACACACAACAGTACAGTGTGATGAGATGAGATTCAGCTTTATTGTCATTACACATATAGAAGTTTAGAGGAATGAAATGAGGTTTGGCTTCTCACCAGAAGTGCAAACAAGCAGAAAGTGCAAGAATCTGTGCTATGTACAAGTAATTACAGAATTTACAGATGTAGACTAAAAAAAAGTGAATTATTATTATATCGCTGGATTAATGGGATGCTATAAATATAAATAAATGCTATAAATATAAGTATATTCTTCAGATCATAATATACAGATTAAGGTGCAGTGAGCATGCTATACTAGATTACAGATAGTATACAGAGTATGGACATATTGTGCAGGTCGATAACTTATTGAGGTGACTATAATACAATAATACAGGTGGATGAGAGATGTGTGTGGATGACCAGGAGGAGTGGTGGGGGGATGATGGGTGTGAGGTGATGTGCAGGGGAAGGGGGGTCAGCGGGGGGGGGGGTGGTGGAGTTCGGGAGGGAGACAGAGTTCAGAGTTCAGTAGAGAGACAGCTCTGGGGGAAAAAGCTGTTCCTCAGTCTGCTGGTTCTGGTCCGGAAAGCTTCTGAATCGCCTACCGGAGGGCAGGAGGGCAAACAGTCTGTGGGCAGGGTGGGAGGAGTCTTGAGCTCGCCGCAGACAGCGTTTTCGTTGGACGTCCTCAATGGCGGGAAGTGGACACCTTGTGATGCGCTGGGCGGTTTTTACCACCCGCTGTAGCGCCTTACGGTCTGTGACGGAGCAGTTTCCGTACCAGACTGTAACACTGCTGGTCAGGATGCTCTCGATCACACAGCGGTAGAAGTTCCTCAGTACAGCTGAAGACAGGTGGTGTCTCTTCAGTGTCCTCAGGAAAAAGAGGCGTTGATGAGCCTTCTTAACCAGACTGGAGGTGTTAGTGGACCAGGAGAGGTCCTCTGTGATGTGGGTCCCCAGGAACTTGAAGCTGGAGACACGTTCAACAGCCATCCCGTTGATGTGAATGGGGTTGTGCGTGCTTCCTCTTTCTCTCCTGAAGTCCACGATGAGCTCCTTCGTCTTGCTGGTGTTGAGAAGCAGGTTGTTGTCAGCACACCAGGCGGCCAGATGCTGTACCTCCTCCCTGTAGGCTGTGTCATCGTTGTTGCTGATGAGGCCGATCACGCCGTATCGTCCGCAAACTTGATGATGGTGTTGGATCCATGTACAGGTCTGCAGTCGTGGGTGAAGAGGGAGTAGAGGAATGGGCTCAGCACACAGCCCTGTGTACGCCTGTGTTGAGTGTGATGGTGGTGGAGCAGGTGTGTCCTGACCTAACATACTGGGGTCTGTTGGTCATAAAGTCCATTATCCAGTGACGGAGGGAGGTGTTGAAGCCCAGGTCTCCGACTTTAGTGTTTAACTTGGAGGGGATGACAGAGTTGAATGTGTGAGCACAGAGTGCAGCGCAGTGGAAACTGCATCCTCTGTACTCCTATTGCTGCGGTAGGCAAACTGGTATGGGTCCAGTGTGGGTGGGAGGCAGTTTTTCAGGTGATACAGACACATTCACACACAACATACACACATAAAGGCTCTCACACACCCGTCCGCTAAGCCACAGCACCCACACCACCCACACAAAACCATTAGAAGTAAATACACATAAGGCTAATGACATATTGTGCAGTTAACAAAATAAAAAAAGCGATATTAAATGGGCAAAAGGAGATTTCATCAGACAGTTCTGTTTTTTGACTTCGATGTCGGCTTCCCTAAAGTGAAAATGTGTGAGAAGTAGAATCATTTACTCGTAGACTTCTGTACAATCACACAAGTGAATTGAATTCTGCATAGGCGAGAGGAAACGACCACGTCTCTCGGAGTAAACCTGGATCACTTTGGACGCTTGCCTTCTGTTTGTTAAGGGACAGACGCGCTTCATATTCATGTCTTTTTTTTTTGTGTACAAGGTTGCATCTTTAATCGCCTGTGTCTGAATGGCATCGCTTATGATAACTGAGTAACACGTGGCTTTGACACACCAGAAAAGAAAGCAGGTCCAACAAGTTCGCAGTATCAACAATAATATGTCTACAATAGGTAAAGGGGAGCGGGGGCTGGACACACTGGAAATTCTGCTTAAGGTGAAAAGCTTGGGCGAGTCCGAGGTAAAACGACACTGCTTGAGAAAAGACGGTGTCAAAGATGTTTTCTTTTCCACCACTCTTTTGTATTTTTCTCTGTGGGGATTTCTGTGGGGAAGTCAAAGAGCTGTGACATCATCATAAAAATACAAAAGGACACTATAGGACCCATAAATCTCTGTCATGAAAGAACCAGGCCATGTTTATTTATGGGGGTTAAAAAAAAGACAAACACATCCATTACAGTGTTCAGTGTTTGCAGATTTGCAAAATGTTTGGTTTATTTTAGTTGGGTTATTTGGCACGTTCCAGCCTTTTTAATGAATGCATTATTAAAAGAAAAGTTCCTGAATTTGGGGTTTCATGTTTGAACTCAAACAGACAACTTTTTCCACCCAGACTTAACCAGGATTGTTTTCCTGCCAGCTCTTGTTTTCCTGCCAGCTCCCTGATTTGCCAGCAAAAACTTTAATTATAGGGTGTCTGACTCTGTTGCTCCACCCCCTAGTTCCCTGTTGTGCTTTTTTACATCATGCCCTGCATCCTGAGACCCCCCCCCCCTCCTGTCCGACAGGGAACCTTTTCCAGGAAGATTTCAGGTTCAGCCCGCCTCAAATGTTCTGTACATTTTTTAGGAGGGCACGAGTGAAAAGGCTCGAGTTAGATTCTTACATCAAGTGGCAGCAACATCTGAGACATTTGGGTCAGTGATTCTGTGTTTGCATGGGAATATATAGAGGCATTGTTTCTTTGGGGGGGGGTGCCATTTCCACAAAGGGTTAATATCCACAGGCGAAGGTGGAAGTTGAGGAACTGTTATTTCATGGTATGAGGGGAAAGTTGTCAGTTGTCCGTTCCCTGACTGCCACACCGGAAAGACCACTATCAGGTCTTGGAAAGTAATTTTCATCCTCTCGCATTCCCCTTGTCGAGCAGCGCGTTCTCCCCTCGTCCTCTTTAACAGGAAACGAAGAATAACAGTGTTAATTCATTTTTATTCTGCTGTCATGGCGATCCTGTCGAGCACTGTTAGACGGCCCGTGCAGGAGGCAGACAGGCAGACAGGCATCTGGATAGACCATCTCAGAAGTCACAGGTCTGCAGGGTCACAGGGACGCCGTAAATCGCCTGGATAACTACTGTTCATAAATTAACGGGCAGCATGCTGCTCCGTCTGAATATCTTTGACCGCTGTCTCAGTGTGAAGTATCAGAGTGAGAAGGTGTGAGTTATGGGAGACCACCTGAGTGCCAAGGCAGCGCTGCAGAGGCCGATGGTGCTGTTTTTACGATCCGGGGTTATGAAGAGGACAGGTTCGGCTTCAGTGTTTCCACAGTAAAACTTTATTTTGGCTTTGAGGTTCGAACGTCATGTTGGGAAAACAACGCTGCGCTGCGAAATGTTCCCTGGAGCTGTTTGATGCTCATCCTGCTAACCTTTTTCTTTCCCTTTTTCTTTGTTACCGTTTGGTTCACTTGCCTTGTCTCGTTTCACGCCTCCAGTGTTAGACGTACAGGAGGAAATCTGAGCGAGTGCCAGTAATAATAATAATCATAAAGCTTAGAATCCGCTCACACGTCTCCTCTCTCGCTCATAATGGCGACTGATGAAGGCTGAGACCTCCTCTCAATAGAGTCTCCTAACTTGTAGTTAGGCAGAAACACATGTGAGCTTACCAAAGTGTGGTTGAAAACTAGATTCATTTATTGCTCTGCTTGCCAAGGGTGCAAACTTTTCGGCACTGGACACAGGTATAAACACAAACTCTGTTTTAGTTTCACATTTGGAGCAAACAAACAAATGAACGTGTCAAACGAGAAAGCCGTGCCACATACCGTCAACTCATCTTAACTTCTCGGCCAGTGTTTTAGCTCTTAGTGGTGGTAATATGAGAGAGCCTCATTTGAGTCCCCCTTTCACCTTTAGTTAAAGGGATACTTCACCCGTTGAAACATGAATCTGTATTGACATTGGGTCATATATGTTGTAGAAATGTTGGTGCCTTCTTGGGCGTGAAAAGGCAGAAAGTGTATGTTTGGCTCATGTGGATGAAAGACACCAAATCCCAGAATGCACAGCACTGCAGGCCACTCCCACTAAGGTCCTCTAGTTCAGAATCAGAAATACTTTATTAATTAGGGAAATTCGATTGTTACAGTTTCTCCAAAATATACAATATAGCAGTAGAAATATAGTAATAAAAACATTTACAGACATATTTACTGCTGAGCTGGCAGCGGCGGCAATATAACATCGAGACAGTTGCTGCCAACAGGCCGGACTTGTGTCACGGCCAGCTCCCGGCGGCCGGGCTCGAGGCGGCCAGCGCCCAGTGGCCGCAGCAGCCAAAACACAAGACCGGCCTGTCGGCAGCAGCCGTCGCACCGCTATATTTATATTTTTTCGCCATTATCAGCTTTCTCCATAGAGCCTGTTAGCATAGCTTCCAAGCAATATGGCGGAGGTTAAGTTTCGATTCTGGGAGTGAGTTCCCACCCACTGATCTGTGATTGGTCTGTAGCTTCAGTGGTCGAAAATATGAGAACTAGCGTTGTAGTTTCACCCAGCTAACCGCAACAGCTTCCAGTGACGCAAAAAAAATACAAAGATTTCCCATCTCAGGGGAAAATGAGGGAGGGATGCACAACCATTCAAAAATACTACCAGGTTTCTAATGATACAAAGCTTAATGCAAATGGGTGAAGTATCCCTTTAACTCTTCTCTAAGTACACTAAAAGTCCCTTACTACTTTCTGTGTGTGTGTTTATGTGAGTACATGTTTGTGTGTGTTTGCACTTTCTTGTGGTCTGTGATTACGGCTTCATTAAACGATATCAGGCCTGAACGCAGACCTGTGGTGTGCTTGGCAGCTTCTCCATGCGGTCTAAAGTAAGCACATTAAAGTGATTAATCTGCAGCTCATACAGGATGACAAATAAACACATGCATGGCCCTGATCTCTGTGCACAAACACAATCTGGATTTATGCAAACTCAGAGACAGAGCTTAATTTTCATTTGATACATTTCAGGTGATCTTCCCCCGTAATGAGGCATCAGAGTCTCCTGTTATTCTCTGTGCCGCCAGCAGAGGGCGCCAAACTCACAGTGCTTTGATTGTTTTTTTTTTTTTTTTAAAGACATCAGATACTCTTCTGTTCTTTTCTCTTCGTTCTCTTTGGCTCACAAGAACAGAAGAGCAGTGACTGTGTAGATACATCTTACTCATTCAAATTAAATATCTTTTGTATTTTTTATCATCATGTCACATCTTTATATCCTTGAAATCTTCAGTTCTGAGAAGACTGCATGAGAGGTTTTTACTTTTATTTGACAAACTGCTGAGGTCAAAAAATAACCTGCATAAAAAATAAAAATAATAATTGTGTTCAGCCCTAAACGCACATGCTCAAACATGACCTGTGGAGAGATGTCAGAGTGAGGGGGTGCACATGAAGGAGCGCCTGAGCAGTTGGGGTTCGATGCCTTGCTCAAGGGCACCTCGGCAGTCCTCGAGAAGTGACCTCGCACCTCTCCAGCTACCAGACCAACTTCATGACTTTGGTCAAACCAGCGACCGTCCAATTCCTAACCCAAGTCCCTACAGACTGAGCTACAAAGTTCTCGTATACCTGGTCTAATTTTATCATATTGGAACAGGTTTTGTTGGCAGACATATGTTCACTTATCATAGAAGTTGTCAGTTTGTTTTTAGAAGCGTACTGAAGCTTTGGTGTTGAAATCATAAAATATCAAATCACAGATTGATAAGATCAAGATGCAGCACATCAGTGGGGAAAAATGTTATGAACTGTATGTTTGCATGAGAAACAGGCGTACATGAAATACCACCTTCTGATTGTGATTCATATCCATCCTCGTCATGAAACCAGCCCGTGATGATGTGATAATGATGATGATGATGATGATGATGGGAATGTTGATTGGAGCTAATGTTCACACTCCCGGGTGGAGGGGCGGCTCTCAAGGACTAACATTGTTGACATTTTTCTGACACATGGACTGGTTTAGTCCAACATCAGCATCAGAGTTAGTTTTCCCCTCTTACTCTTTGTTTTCTCTTTGTTTTCTGATCTTTTTCTCTGTGAAACTTGTTTTACCTGACTTTCTAAAGTCTGTAATAGTTTTTCCCTCTCATCTCTTTGTCATGTTGGTTAGATGTTTTTTTTAGAGAGGTCAAAATGCTTCAGCAACACTTGTAGTCTGAAGATCATCTTTTATTAACAATTTAGGCACATCTATTTGCAAAAATTCAAAGTCCGCAGTAACAAGGCTTCTCCTACGTCCTCCTGTTAGCTGTAGCATTAGCCGCATGTAACGCTCGGTTCTAGCCCTCCTTGAAAAAATTTGCCAGTGTGATGTCATTGTCAGTGTGAGATCACTGATCTAAGCTCATTGTGGCCCGTTAACTTCTGTAGCACGCCCACGATATGCCGTAGCCTGCGGTAGCACAGTAGTGCTAAGGTGCTAATGTTTTTGCTCCCCTCGGAGCCAAAGTGGCTGCATTCCCAATATGGTAAAAGAGGCGTGCCATTTCCGAGAACCGTGCTGAGCGACTGACCAATTACGGCTAGAGCCTACAGGCCGACCAATCAGATCAGACTTGGCACACGTGGGGACTCTGAACGTGGGCGCTTCAGAGCCTTAGAGAGAGTCAGAAGCGAGCCGGTGCATGGAGCGGCAGTTCATGAAAACAGACACTTTTTTTGAATTTTGGCTATTGTGAACATACTTTAGTCGGTACATAGATTAAATATACGAACCACAAAAAGGGCATAATATGTCCTCTTTAAGAGGTTAACTCTATTGTAACACCAACAACAGTGGGCGTGTCTTACCCCCTGCCCCCCCTCTCCAAGCTATTTTTAATAAATAAGAAGAATAAATTACCATAAATTGAGAGCTTAGGACTTTTAAGTTTTGTTCTTGTGTTGCTGAAATTGAAAGATGTTTTAATTAAATTGTATCAAAGTTTATAATTCTGGTTTGGTACCCTGGAGATCACATAGTGACCAAAAACTCAAACGAGTCTTTGAGGTGTAAGTGGTGCTTCATTGATCTGGCAGGTGAGCGCGTAGTTGTGTGCGTGTTTGCGCGTGTGTCCACCCCCCGTCCCCGCTAAGCGCCTGACTCCCCATAACAGGAAACGGCGAGGTGAGGCCAGGGTTTACGGGCTAATACGGCCTCAAAGGAGCCTCTTGTTTTCACACAGAGCTGCAGCTCTTCAGGCTTCTTTTCCATATTGGTCTGGCGTGGAACACTTTGACCCTGGCACAGGGGCAGGAAAACATGACACCGGCCGGCCCAGAGCTTTGAACGCTGTGGGGACAGACCAGGCGAGGGGGCTGCCAGTGTACCCTGTGCCCACCTCCCACCCCCTTGTGGGTGAGGAAGAAACCGGGTTGGGCATCAGTGCCAACTATCTCCACCGCTCAACCTGGGAGAGTATTTCAGATTGCACCTTCTTCAGAACTAAGAAGTTTAAATCTGTAATTAATTAATCAAACAATGAATTGATTGGACCTCATTCCTTAGACAGTGTGTCAACATGCCATTCAAAAGCATGCGTTTGAAAATATCCCCTCTCCTATTGATTTCTGCTTATACATGTCAACAAATACATCAGGACAGGTGTATGTCATCCTGTTTTCTTCTGCCCTCTAGTGGCAGCAAATGCACATACACTGCTTTAAAGTCAGCTTACCCGTTTGCTAAACTGTCTCTGGTGTCTTCCTAGAAGTGTAAAGCTTTTGCTCCACCTGTACGTCGGCCGCTTCAGAAGAAGGCCCTGATGTAGCCTCAAACGTGCCCTCCCTCTCCTCTCCAGCAATGAGTGTCGCTGCACTTCTAAAGCCGCCTCCACCCTCCACCTTCCCTCCTCTGGTCTCTGCCCTCCACCTCCACTGTTACCCCCAGACCTGGAGAGGAAGCATAGGGGTTGGCACACTGGCTGTGTGTGTGTGTGTGTGTGTGTGTGCACACATGTGTGAGGGGGATATTGAGGGATGAATGCCATGACTAGTTCGGAATGTTCCAGAGTTCCAGAATGTGCGGTCGGAAAGTCTGAGCAGGGAAAAAAAGACGAGGAGTAACATGGGTGAGGGGAACAAGACCTTATTGACAGGGCACGCACACACACTCTCACACACTTTCACACACTCTCACACACTCTCTCTCACACACACACACACACACATTGGCCCAGTGTCTGCCCAAAAGCTCATGATTCATGTGGATATTACACCTAATGATCCCAGGATTCAGGGAGTTTGCTTTTTTCCCGCTCATGACGATTTTAACGTGTCACAGAGTTAACGTTATGCAGGTTTACGTTCCAACAATGTGCTCCACTTTTTACCAACAGGATGTTTTTTTTTAGTTTTTTTTTTTACGATGTTCAATGACGATGACGATCAGTGTCCAACTCGTGGCCCTGCGATGGTGTTCATCCGACAACATGTCATGCACTGACATTTAATGTGTCCCCTGAATATAAAACATCTGAAAAAAAGTCATACTACTAATAATACACACATTTCTCTCTAAGTTTGGGTTTAAAGATCATTTTGTGGATCTTCTACTTTTTAAAGCTAGTTTCCCCATTGTTCTTGTATTATTCACTGTAATAATTTCATTAAAACACTGCTAGACAGCATACAATACTCCTCTCCAAATGGTCAGAGATGTAGAAAATGTGATGGGGACTTGCTCCATATTATGCTCATAATCATGCTGAATTGTCTTTTTCACGAAGAATTTTGGATTTACAAAAACAATGATCCAATCTGACCCGACTTTTGGGAGATATACAAGGTCTCAATATGAGTCTCACTAAAAGTGTGTTCAACCGAATTGGAAGTCAGAGCTTCCTCTATCGCAGATGCGGTTGGCTAAATGAGTTAACATCCTGTAGCACACCTGAAAAAAAAAATCTTATTTAGTGTGTTGAGGGATCCAAAATGCCAAAAAAACAAAAACAAAGCTGGTTTCTAAAAGTGTGCGTGAGATTAACGTTGTTCAAAAGTACAGAGTGAATGTTTGGTCGTGTTTTGGTTGTGTTGCTGTGATTCAGTCAGCACAAGAGACTCTGACTGATGTTCAAACAACAGAGAGTCATGTATTTGCTGTGCAACTTTGCAGGTTTTAAGAAGTCTTTCCTTTTTGTCTTTTCAGGATGGTTCCTACCTGGCCGAGTTCCTGCTCGCTAAAGGCTACAAGGTGAGAAAAAAAAAAAAGAAGCCCAATCTGTTTTGGTACCAAGAATCTGTTAAAGCTCATAGAACTCACACACACTGAAGTGAAAGCAGACAGTCTTGAGTGCCAGCAAACACAGACGCACACAGGGAGCGACATTCCCCTCGATAAGCTGAATCCAGCCTCAGCAGTGCGCCGTGGCTCCTGAGGGATCATGATGTAATGTGACGGTGAACATTGTGCACGTACTGACTCCCACGTCACCCCGATAAGACCCTTAGTGTCACTTTGAGCCTGTTCACCCCTCACCTTCTACCCCCCGGTTCAGACCGTTAACAGGGAAGCAGTTGTTGTTATACAGCTGTACGAGTGAGGTCACACACTTTCACCTGCGGCACGACGTGTTTTCAGGAGCGCACAAAGTCAACAGCCTGTGGATGGACGCATGCAGAGGTTAATGAGCTGTTTCTGACTCACTGACGCCACGGAGGGGGTTCAGCGCTGGTTTCACAGTCGTAAAAAAAAGGGACTTTAAGGCGGATACCACGCGTTTAAAAACCATGCAATCTCCCAATGATCATTATCTACACTGTCTAGTTAGCAGCTTTTACGGCTCCCTATTACGATCACATTCACACACTGCCAACAAGAGAGAGGAGAGAGGATGGAGGAAATGGAGGGTCGAGGAAATTTGGCTTCAAGGTCAAAAACACACTGATCGTTGGCTGGGGAAAACAGTTATGAGGCATACCTGCAAGACAATGAAAATATGCAAAATAACTTTGAACTAAGGAGAATGGGCAAAGCTGTTGAGCTCCATGTGAAATCAGAAATGCACCTACCTCGGGCAAAAATGTATTCATTTTTTATTGTTTGGGTCCTAAAAAGTCTTAAATATTTGATTTGAGCAGAAACCCTTTTTAGATGACCTCAAGATCTTTGGTCATATTTGAACCCAAATCTGCCTCAAGTGAAAAAGTGAGGGAAGGCAGTGGCTGTCCATTAAAGTGTACAGATCAGCGAACTCTGATGTTTCTCAGGTCCCTTTGGCATCTCATAAAGATTCAAAAGTTTTGTCTCTTGCGAACGGAGAGCAGAGGAGGGGACAGTGTCTGTTCTGCACAACAAGACTGGCAACTTCTCAGTACGTTTTTTGTGCGACATGTACAGTGTGCTTGCAGTTTTTCAATTAAGGACTTAAATTTTTTGTTGCCGTGGTATCGACAATGTTGAGTTTTACTTGCATCGTATAAAAGTTAAATAATTTGGTCTCGTTTTAGCCCCGCTACGCATACAACATTCATTTTGCAGCCGAGCTTATTTTGTTTCCTCTGCAGTAGCTGCATGACTTCATTTCCCCTCATATGTGGAGCAGCAGCAGCGCACACAAAAACACACACCTCCATCCGAGCCTGCCTGGCCAGCTTCACTCCTCTTGCCTGCCGCTTGCATCCGAGGCAACAGAGAGGAAGTGGACTGGTGTGTGTGTGTGTGGGGGGGTCTGGATTTGGGCTGGGGGGGGGTTGGTCGGCATTAAAGAGGAGAGCTAAGGCAGGCAGGAAGCGCACAGTGAATAAAGGAAGTGAGGTCAGGGCACAGCGTCGTCCCACTAATGGACTCCCCTCGGAGCAGGTTGTGTTATCTTTCCCGAGCAGAGCTTCCTCACACGTCCCCCCCAGAACACGGAGTACAGATCACAGATCACAGGCAGCATTAAAAACACATGATACACACAATCACTTTGCATCATCAACCTTTTGCACGTAAAAACGTTCTGAGTACGAGATTTCACCATCAAGCAGATGATACAGAGTCCACCATTCAAACTGAACTGCTCTAAAAACAGTTTGTGCCGACCTCGTCTTTAAGCGTGCTCAAAATGTTCAAAACATCAAAACATTATGTGAAAAACAACAACTCTAACTTCTCTTGTCTGTCCGTATCTGGTGTCTTCTTTTCTCTCAGGTTCATGGGATTCTGCGTCGCTCCAGCTCCTTCAACACGGGTCGCATCGAGCATCTTTACCAGAATCCACAGACGCACACTGAAGGCAGTAAGTGTCCGGTCCTGTCCGACAATGTCAAGTGTTGTTGCTCTGATTGGTTGTGTTGTGTAGCATTAGTCTGTGGCGATTAATAACACAACATAGAAATTAAAAATGAACTAATAGGTACCAGACTTATGTGTTTTTGCAAAGTGGTCTGGTGCTGCAAGGCCAGTAAGGTCCTATTTCATGAACATGCACAGACTAGAAATAAAAAGCTAAAATATTTCACATTGAAAATAAGAGCATGCTAACCAGGGGAACTATACTGCTTCAAGGAAAGGACAGTTACACCAGAGCATGTGTCGTTAACTTATCACCAGAATCCACTGGCTGTAAGCCTACTTTTGATTAATGGGACACTGCCTAAAGGTCACATATTTCTCTAACACTAATATGTGTCCCTAGCCCGTCTACAAACCCCCCAATGATGAGAAAAGTCCATCCTCTCTGTCTTCTGCCTGCTCCACTTTTCAGAAAATGTGTGCTGAAACAGGCCGTTTGGAGATTTTCCCTTCATGACATCACAAAGGGCAGTAACCCCTCCCCCAGGTGGGTGACACTCCCACAGCTAGGTGTTTGTTCTGCCCTCCGAGTTCTTTCTTCTCACTGTAAACAATAGGACATGGAGCGAGAAAGCCTGAACCACCCAAACCCTTCCAGAGAGGGGGCGTGGTCAGACACAGCTCATCTGCATTTAAAGCTACAGACAGGACCTGAGCAGGGCTGAAATAGAGGGGTTTATAGGCCTGTGAGTCTTGTTTTGCATGTAATTGTAACGGTATCCTCGTCTTCCTCTCTGTCAGACATGAAGCTGCATTATGGAGATCTGACGGACAGCACTTGTCTGGTGAAGATCATCAACGAGGTGAAGCCCACAGAGATCTACAACCTGGGCGCTCAGAGCCACGTCAAGGTACGGTCATAAACACATCCTAGTCCAAGCAGTGCAGCGTTTTCCCCCCAATGAATGACCATGACATTTTAAAGTCGCCGACGCTGTAAATGAGAAACTCACTCCTGCCTGACTCCACAGCCAAAGACTTTTGCGTTATTTTAAGTCTATCATGTGTTAACGTAAACGTCTCTCTAAACAGGTTTAGTTTGTATGTGAAGTAGTTTGCTGTCTAGTTGAAGCTGAAAACTTAAAGGAAAGCAAACTTTTCCAGAACTTAGATCAATGTTTTTCTCAGCACTTAATGTGGTTTGTTAGATTTGTAACTAAAAGCTTGAAATCTTGAAATAGCACTTTCAACACCATCTCACTGACATCTACTTTGAAATGACCGAATGGTTCTTTTAAATTGAAGCTGATGGTGAAGTGTGTCTGAGTCAAAATGGTCCGAGACCGCTGCTGTTAACATTTAAAAAAAAAAAAAAAGAAGAAAGAAGAAGGGGATTTTACTTCTGAGAAGTGAGCAGTTCACATTGTTGGAGGATGCTGGAGCTGATGGGACAGGAAGTCATGTTTTCTTGGATGGGTCGGTCTGTGCCACAATGTCCCTTTTGTCTCGGAGCTCTGTGGTGATCCCAGGAGATCCCTCGGCGCCGCCGCCTCCTCCTCCTCCTCCACCTCCTGCTCCTCCACGCTGGGATCTGACACACAGTCTCCAGGCAGCGCTGATCCTCCGTCACCGAGGGTGGTTTTTGGGTCGGATATGGAGCCAAGAGCTTAGTCAGATCATAGTCAATAAGGCCATGTGTAATGTGAACGTGACATGCTGATTTTTAATAGTTTCTTCATCGCACGGAGCCACATTTATTGTTCATTTAAACTCCGTTTGATTCAGGTCTTTGAATCCTGGAAGTACCAGGTCATTGCTGCATCTCTTGGGTGTAGGATGAACTTTGTTGTTTTGGTAAATAAATGAATGAACTGATAAGAAAATCAACAGAAAATGTTTAAAAATCCAGAAAATGTCAGCAGAATGGAGACTAAAAAAAGTGCTTTACAGAAGACATTAAAGGATCATGACACAGAATAAGAGGATGTTTAGAGGTGATAGAAACAAGCTGTGTTAAAGGAGGAGAAGATGCAATAAAACCAGGAAACAACAGAAGCTGAAAATGACATGTGGACTACAGGAGCTGGGGATTAAACGTTCAACCTTTTTTTTTTTTGTGTGTGTGGCATGTTTGCCTTTATTGGAAAGGACGGCTGTAGAGAGACAGGAAATGCTTTGAGGAGACAGTGGGGGACGACATGCAGCAAAAGGAACCCACGGCCGATGTGATGAGGACTGTAGCCTCTGTACATGGGGTGTGAGACATAACCGCTAGGCTATCAGCTCCCCCGGAACGGTCAACCTTTTGATTAAGAGATGAACCCTTCAACTTTTGAGCCGCTGTCGTCCATATCCAGATGATTTATGGTTTGTGCCACTACAGCATCTTTAGCACAAGTGTAGCAGCTTTATTGCTCATCATGTTATATGTATGGATGCATGTAATCATTTTTGTTCCGTGGATCCGGGAGGGGGAGGGGCTTGTGGACTTAATTGGGTTTAGTTGAGACTAGTAGAGAGTGGAGCCACACAGTCTTTTGAAGTGTGTTTACTTTACAAGACAGGTTAAAATAAATTCAATTTTCTGCTTTGGGTAGAAATGGACGGATTCATTTTCGAAGTTTTCAAGCACAAATGTGAAGAAATCTCTCTAACTTCTCTAATCGAGGGATTACTGCTTTTCCACTTTATTGCATAATGAACTATAAGCATTCCTTGGTTGGTTGGACAAAGACTACGTCACCGCTGACTCAGAAATTTTGGGGTCTAAGAATGTAAAAGTGACAAAAAAGGAAATGAAGGAAGTCAGACAGACAGACGGAGAAAGGAAAAGAGTGGGAGGCTTGGTCAGATAGGAGAATGATGATTTCTCTCTCCACATCCTTTGTGTTCAGAGGCCATGACTCTGCTCCCACCTCCCACACGGATGATCATTCTTAGGCCACACACACACTCAGTGACAGAAAGTCCCTGTACCTGAACATGAATGTTTATTTGTTTCCACACCTATAAACCTCGCTCTGGTTGCTCCACACCACATGCCGCCCGCTCTGAGCAGCTGACCTCGCTGGATTACTGGCAGCAGCGGCGTGGAGACATTTCCAGTCTGTCCCACCTCAGAGGAAAAGATCAGTCACACCGGCTACTCAGCATCTCTCTCTTCCTCCCCTTCAGCCCTCTCAGTTTTACAGGGAATCCCTTCTGAGGCCAGAACGTTCATCAGACTCTCCCGGGGAGATGGAGTAGTAGGATCAGTGAGAGCTGGGGTGACTGTGTGTGTGTGTGTGTGTGTGTGCGGGTGCTAGTTTCCGCTGCTCCGAGAACACAGTGAATGTTATTTTCTGATGCTGCAGGGGCGGAGGTGGAAGGGGAATAGTCGACGCGGGACACTGAAAAAGGCCTGAAAGGCAGCCAGCTGCGTTATCAAAAGAGCTCCAAACAGAAGGGATATTATGTCTTTTTCATTTGACCGTAAAACAGCAGAAGATTTGATCAGTTTGATCTCCGTGCTCAGGCGTCTTTCCCTGAAGCCATTTTCCAAAAAACGATATAATAACCCACAGAAAAGATGTCCTAAAGGCCGAGATAAAAACAGCAATTTCCTCCTGAGTTTCTGCTGGATGGTTTAATTAGTGCTCTAACTCATCTAGTGTAAGCTTTGGGGATGGATAGGAATTGCTGTAAATTTACAAGGAAATTTATAGGAATGTTTAAATACAGGACATTACTGTATTATAACGGTTTATAACAGTATTTTACTGTAGTTTTTGCAATGCATTTTGGGAAAAAGAAGTTGAGACCACATGGTTGAAAGGACAGTGGAGTTGGCTTTGTCAGATTGTCATTCATCTCCATCCTGACAATTAAGAGGTGAGTGCCTTACTGCTTTGCTAGTTAGAATAAGAAAAAACCATCACTTACTAAGTTTGAAGTCATTTGTAAGATTAACGTTAGCTAGATTTGTAAATTACACAGAAACACTGCAGGCAGACACACATGCAGTGAGTGAATTCTTTGCCAGCTAACATTAGCTTGAAATACAGATCTTAACAGTTGCTAAATGGGAACAAAACAAAACGTTTTCTTGTAATGTGGTTAACTAAGTGGGCTATAATGAACTTGACTTGCTTGCCTGGTGGTACTAGAATGGTAAGGTTAGCTAACATCAACAAGCTAACATTTCTTTGTTTCAGCTTCAGCTTCAACTTACACTGACTATTGATTAAATATTTAATTAGAGATGATAAGCTGGGCCTACTAGGCAATATGGCCATAGTATAATATACAGTATTTGAAAATGTATAAAAGGAAACTTCTGTCAGAATGGACCTGAGGCATGTTTTTTTGTTTTTTACTATTTTAACATATAAAGCTGCTACAATACATCCTGAATTCATGTCCTTAAAGTAATTCCAGGACTTATTTTTATTCATACTAGATCTACTTCATACTTTTACTTTACTTCTTTGTATATGGAGAATATTCAGAAAGGATTGTCCATATGTTTATGTTCACTGTTCAGCTGGAGCTGCTTTTGTTCTAATGTTGATTTTTCCCTTTACAGAATCCTTGTGGCAGTTTCAGTCTGGAAGGAGAAATCAGAGGGAGGTGCAGGTCCAGGGACCTATTTGTGCGAGATTTTCTGCCTATTTAACCTTCATGTTCTTAAAGTGTATTTTCTTTGTTTTTGTCACAGTTTCAATAAAGACAGATGTGGTTTGAGAAGACAGTTTGAAGTTTTATTATTTGTCTTAACATTTTAAGTTGCAATTTTAAAGGCACCGTTTATTTATTATTTTAAAACATAACCTGACATGCAAGGAATCATTTATCAAATCACTAGGTTTATAAAATAAATATATTGTGTCCATTTTGGTCGAAGGAAATTAATCTATAGCTAGGTGTAGTATTTACAATTCACAGTAAAAATCTGCAAATATACCTCTTGTGAAGAATTGTAAATAAACAGTATTAAACAGTTAATCCTTTCAACAGTATTTTCCTGTTAACATTTAAAATAACAGCTTTTTGCAGTATTTACAAAAACGGTAGAAAACTGTAAATTTCAGCAACAGCAATATACCGTTAATTTTACAGTAACTTCCTGGCAACCCTACTGCCAGTTGTTTACCGTTTTTTAACAGTGGGAATTTCTAAGAGTGTAGGAGGCGATTATCGTCAACTGAAAAAAAAATTGTCTCAATTTAGAATCGTAAAAACAGGTCAGCTGGCTGCAAAGTATTTGATAGGGTAAATCCCACATTAGGAGTTTCAGGGAAGAGTTTGATTCATGACCTAACAATTAGTAAAAGTAGCATGCATTGTTTCTGCAATCATTTCAGCACAAAACAATCTGCTTCACCTTCACCTTATGAGTGAATGAATTTATTTCAAACCAAAAATTTAAACAAGATAATAAAAAAAACAAACTTAAAAATGTCCGAAAAGAAGTGTATCCCTACCCCTTTCTTACTTTTCCTCTATTAGTTCATTTATTATTCCAACAAACGTTCACATGTATTTACAGCTTATATACAAAAAATAGCCCCGGTTTATTTGCCACCTAAAAGTTTGCAACTTCTGTTTAAAATATGACAGACGATCGGAAGTGTTTTTTAAAGCTGGGATTAATTTTTGATACTATCCATCACTTGGGGCGGCTGTGGCTCAGTGGTAGAGTCTGCTGTCTCTCAACCGGAAGTCGAGGGTTTGATCCATCCCCAGTTCCTGCAGCCACATGTTCAATGTGTGGCAAGACACTTAACCCCAAGTGGTTCCTGCTGCTTTGAGCGGCGTGTGAATGTGGATGAGTTAGTACTGATGGACACTTTCGCAACCTCTACCATCAGTGTGTAAAAGTGCTTTGAGTTGTCAGAAGACTAGAAAAGAACTTTACAAGCGCAAGTCCATT